TAGCCTGCTCATTGCAAACCCATGTCGACATGCGACTGCAGTGCCGTCACTCCACACGGCTATCATGCACAGGTCAGTTCTTACTTTTTTACATCACCGCCCCCACTCCCAATGATTACAACATGCAATAGATAGTATATGATTTCTATGATTACTATTTTATCACCAAGATCACTGAAGGGATCCACAAACACGCTCTGCTTGATAACGCTTTGTTTCGATACAAGTCACTAACAAGCCTGCAGGTAAAATCTCATGTGTACGCAAGTACGCTCAACATCGCTGCATGTGCCAACTGCACGTTCTGTCTTCGTGTCAAGCCATGTTTTTAGCCTTCTTCAATCAAGTTGGCTTGTCCGCGTTGGGTCACGCGCGCATGTGATGAAGGCGACTAAAATTTGTGAAGAAATAGTTTAGCACGATCAAGGCCATTCACGCGATATGCCAGACAGGTCGCAAAGGTAAGTGATATGTAGGCCGTGTAGGCAGGGTATTCGCTCTGTGATCTATCATATCTAGCTAGTCTCAATAAAAATCTCAATCAACATCTGCATCATCCTCCGCGACTCTCTGCTCTGGTGTCGTTGCTCTCCTTCGTGTGATTTTCCTTCCGTAGTTTCGGTACAGGTTCGTCAGCAGCTCCCTTACCACGTCGTTGAATGCTGTCCTTGCGTCAAATTTGCTTCCACCGTACGGGAAGGGGACGATCTTGGACCAGTCGGCGTTATCTTCAAAGTAAAACTCGAGGTCGAATGAAACCGCATCCTTGAGCATGGTCTTGAGTGTCACCCCCTTGTGACCGTTGACGTCTGCCCACGCCCACAGTGCAGGGTCGTGGAAATTCAACGTGCTCGACGCCTCTTCGGCGAGGATCTGTGCGTTGAAGAGGAGGTGGCGGATGATGTTGATGTCGCAACCGCAGTGTATGACAGCATACTGCAGTAGCTCGGTAGTGATGCCTTTTTGCACACCCAACAGCACGGCAAGCGCTGCCACCGCGTGCTCGTTACCCTCCTTGATCGCTTCATTCATGCCCGATTTCGCCACTTCACCTGCCATACTACCCTCCCAATCGATCTCTCCGGTCAGGCTAACCAAAATGTAAAGCAGTGACGCTTTATCTTCTGTCCATGGCCCATGCAGCAACTTTTCTGGTATGTGAAAGCCTTGCGCAAAAGCGAGATGAGGGATCTTGGTGAACTTGTATGGCCATAGTCCGTCGAAGTAGGACACTCCGGGGATCGTAACTCCAGTAGCTGCCCAGGCCTTCCCGCGCAACTTGACCATGGCATCTTGTGCGCGTTGCACGTATTTCAAAAAGAAGTCGTAGGTAAAGAAATGGCAGGTCAGGATGTTGGACTGGAGTGAGGCATCGCTGGTGACGAGTCGGTCCCGATAGTTGGTACGGTGATCGACGGTATGGAAGAAGGCCTGCATAGTGAAGCTCATCTCTATAGCGTGTGAGGAGAGTTTCGCGCCAAGATCTCGTGAGCAGCGTGGAAGCGCTGGGTTCATGCTGTAAAGAAAGATCATTTCCAGCAGTTCTGTGGGAAGTCCTTGGAGCGTCGGCATGGCGGGTGTATATTCTTTTTTCTTGCGGGCTGACCTCGTTTTCCGTTGACGTTTGAGTTGAGATGTGGATGCTGAAGAGTTTTGTGCAGGTATGGTAAAAGGTTTACTTTTGGAGGCAGCAGCATATGCTGGATGTAAGTACTTCCTCTTCTTGCCACGCACGATGATAGGTGTCAGTTCCATCGGGTACTTATGAGCGGCTGTTGCGACCAGGCAGCACTCAAAAGTAAGCCGCTTCCGATTGCATGCAGCATGCACAAGGTAGATGGATCGGGAAAGGCTCCGCGTCACGTTTTGGAGATCGCACTGTGCGCCACGTTTTGGTGCACGGGCCCGGTGTGGCTTTGCCGCGGCGTTCCTGGAGCTAGCGTTAGCTTTCCGCTCGTCTTCCTGTCGCATAAACAAAAGACCCGACGAGATTGACGCACCACGCGCGCGTGCACCACGAACGGAAAAGCGAATCACCGAACGAACGACGCGACCACACCGAAGAGATGCAGGTCCACGCAGTACCCGATTCCGAGCGCGCGTTTGATTCGACTGGGAGGAGGCTGCCCTGGGGGCTTGAGTTCGCAGAGTAAGTCATGTTTCACTGCCATTACCAAATGGAGCCTTCTGCACGCATGAGCCTAGTCATGCGACAAACAAGACTACAAAGTGTTCTTTATACGACATTCCTCTTCTTCATGCTATCTTGACGCCATGGACGACCTCAACTGGGATTCACCCATAGATTCGGACACACAGCTAACATCGATCCCCGACAGTCCCGATCAAAATCAACGGCGCGTGCCAGAAGAGAAAGGCCCCTTTGGCAAAGCACGGAAACGCGGCACCTCACGAGCGAAGACACCCTTGGGCGCCAGCAACGCAGCTGACGAAGCGAGACTCTACAACCAGCGCACAGAAGATGACATCTTCAGTCGTTTCAAGGCAGACGAAGACAAGAGGCGCTCGGTATCCGCGCGGCCAGCCGGTGCACTACCACCATCAGCTTCGGCACCAAATCTCATAGACGCAAGCAACGGACTGAACGTTTCGTTCGCAGCAGGCGCATCAACGAACGCCACTTTCGCACAAGAACCCAAGGAAGTCATACTATACGGCTTCGGATCCGAGCAGCAATGGGCTGCGATAGCACACTACGAGAAGGTTTCCAACGGAATGATCTACGAAGAATACGATCGCGAGCCACCCAACCCCAGGCTCGGCTATAGTCTAGCAGCGCAACGCTCGACATACTACCCAAACTTGGAACCGAAATACTTGACCAGGATCAAGACATATCTTGGGGGAGACCACTGGGTCAAGGTGACTTTCGATAGTGCGGAAGCCGCCGAGCGCGCATGTCACTACAGTCCGAAGAACATCCAGGGCTACACAGTTTACGCAGAGATGTACAGAGGGACAGGACCGCAAGGTGGTGACCGGCCGTTGCGCGCAGAAGGAGGGGGAATGTCACAAATCGCTTCACCCAACACCGTATCTTCAGGCACCTTAGGACCACGCGGTGCATCTCAGTCTTCAGCAACAGCCTCATCTGCCACAGCAACGGCCTCCCAGCCTGCAGCGTCACAAGGACTTGTATCGCAATCAAACTCGGAACCAGCCTGGCTGAGGAGTACAAGCGGCGCTTTCCCAAGCCATCTCGACGACATGCCCGTGGAACCCATGTCTCAACCACGCGAAATGCACCAAGCTCTCGACCCAAACACCGTTCCCGCGCATGCAACTACCACAGCATTGAACCCCCGTTCTCAACGCGCAACCCTGCGACTCAAGGGCGCAAACGTGAAGCCCGCTGTCTTCCTCCCACAAGAAAAGGCCTTCCTCCCCGCAAAACCCCGCTGGCAGCAAACAGTCGGCTCGGTGCCTGTCATTGGATGGGTGATTGGCTCAGGACATGGTATCATTGGCGACCATGTACCGAGAAAAGAGGACGGAACTTTCGACGCAAACAATGCGAGTCTCTACTGGCGGGTGTGGTATATGGTGGACAGTTGCTTCGGTAGTGACTTTTGTGGGGTCAGGGATGCGGAGTATGATGAGTAGGGTTAATTTCAGGTGGGGGCATTTTTTGTAAGACCAAGGGGTATTTGATAAGCATTGGGCGGCGTTTTCGAAATGACAATATAGCGATGTGACTTCTAGTGCTTGGAGGGTTCGGTATCAAATGCATATGTAATGAAATACGAGTGGCATCCTCAGCAGAAAGCGTTTCTTTCGTGATGTATGATTTGCGGGGTTGTCCATTCATGTAAGAATTCATGCTGTACAAGTCTCGAGGTGGCTGCGTTGAAATCAATATGAGCAACGCAGGCTGAATGATGTAAATGGTCAAAATCTAGGGTGCATTTCCACTGTCTGGAACTATTCACAAATACGTAGGTAATACAGCCCAGATCGGGTACATCTCGACTACATGCAAAGAAGATGCTTAGAGGACGGAAAGATCGCCAAACTTCTCCTGCGGGGTTGTTAGCACTTGCATATGAACTGTCTTGAGTGTTCCAGAAACTTGCCTTGTAGCCGGGAACGGCCCAGCGACCCTTGGAGACGAGCTGCTCGGTGCGCTTGTCGATCTCGGGCTGAGCAGCTGCGACCTCGTCCTGTGATATCTGTCAGCCTCTTGTCCCTCACTTGCCCGTAACCGTATATACGTACAACAGTGAGGTCAGCGAATGGCCTGGCATCCTCAATGTTCTTCAGTGTCTTCTGGAGGTCGCTCAACTCCTTGTCGACAACACTCTTGGTCTGCTCTGCGCTCTGGACGGCCTGGGCCTCGAAAGCCTCAATCGCCTTGATCTGCCTTCCTACATCGTATGTCTGGGGCTTGAAAGCGTTGAACTGCTTCTCGATGTCGTCGATAACGGCCTGGTTCTTGAGGATGCCGCGGTAGTGGTTGAAGTCGACGGTCTGGGACTGCTCGGAGAGAACGGTGACTTTGCGACGCGCATCGTCGTTGCGCTTCTTGAAGGACTGGAGGGCGGCGGCGGTTTGGCCCTTGAGGCCGAGCTGGGTGCCCAGCTTGGTCCAGTCGAGCTTGAGGGCTGCGCTACGCTACAAGAGGGGATATGTTAGTTTTCTTGTTCTGCATTTCGGAGGAGCCATTGCGGGTGGGGGGCTACTGCCGGCGCAGCAATTGGGCATTCGAGAGCTCCGACGGGTCTTCTGGAAGGGGTGTGACGTACTCCGACGGCCATTGTGATGGATTTAGACGGGGATGCGGTGGTTTCGGTTCGGGAGGGTTGATGTCCAAGTTCTTCGCGAGAGCTCGGAACAGCGCCGCCAAGGATCTGGTGCACGGGCCATTCGACTTCCGCCTCGATCGCGGCCATGTTCCCCCAACATTACCTTTCCCACTCACACTCTACACTTCGTTGCTACATTCTCAACCAACAGTCTAGACCCGAACAACTCTCATCAACATGTGGATTCTCGACTGGTAAGCCCCTTGCTATGTGCCTATATTGCTTTCTTACTGACCTCGCTCCAGGTGTAAGTTAACTACCCTCCCTCGTTATGTCCCGAACTGGATGGACGTATGTGTTCGTTGCCGTAGCACGGCAGAGCAAGATTCCTCCAGCACTCTCTCATAGCACTGCTGTCGCCTTCCGAGGTCAACGCCTACAACATCGCGCAAGGAAATATCAAGGCCAGGCTTATCACATGCGCATCGACACTATACCATCGCATATGTCCCGAACACCTGCCGGATCAACCAATGGCTTGCTTGGAACATAGTTGAACATGGGCTGACGTTTTGTAACAGTCTGGGATGTTCTGTCCTCGCTTGGACTCATGAACAAGGTAAGCAGGAGCATAGTCTCAACTTCACTACTCGGGCTAACACATCGTCACAGCATGCCAAACTCCTCTTTCTCGGACTGTACGCACTTCCACATACCAGCCAATTCAAATACGTATAGCTGACTAGGCTCCAGTGACAATGCAGGAAAGACCACGTATGGCTACCAAACTGGACACGCGAGCTTTCGCTGACACGATTAGGCTTCTGCACATGCTCAAGAACGACAGGGTCGCTGTCCTGTAAGTGAGATCTGGCCTTATTGTACAACTACCGGCTAACATATGGTCCAGTCAGCCGACTCTGCACCCCACTTCCGAAGAGCTCTCAATAGGAAACGTCAAGTTCACAACCTTCGATCTCGGAGGTCACGCACAAGCCCGCCGACTATGGCGCGATTACTGTATGTCAAGCCTGCCTGATCGGTTTGCATAAACTAACAATGTCCCAGTCCCCGAAGTTTCCGGCATCGTCTTCCTTGTTGACGCCAAAGACCACGAGCGTCTCTCCGAGTCAAAAGCCGAGCTCGATGCTCTTCTCGCCATGGAGGAGCTGAAGAACACTCCTTTCGTCGTTCTTGGAAACAAGATCGACCACCCCGACGCCATCTCCGAGGACCAGCTCCGTTCCGCGCTTGGTCTATACCAGACAACCGGTAAGGGCAAGGTACCGCTCGAGGGTATCCGCCCGGTTGAGGTCTTCATGTGCAGTGTGGTCATGAGGCAGGGATACGGAGAGGGTATCAGATGGTTGAGCCAGTACGTCTAGGCGGATTACTCCAGCAATTATAAGCACGCTAGGCGGACACAAAGCAGCGGGGAGCGCATGTGGCTGCACGTTGGCTCTCGATGGTATGAGTTAGATGCAAGTACATGCCATGGCTATCACATGCGTAGTAGATGTACTCTTACGGGCGTTGGCGTTAGCTCTTGGAATAATATCATATTGCACACCAACACTCGTAGTACGGTGCAGCGAAGGCTGGGTCGGCCCGAAGCGAGCGAGACCTCTATGTCGGTGCGTAACTCCAGATCACGCGCGACAATGACTCTATTCCACTAGTATGCGTGATGAATGACAGATATCACGCATCGAATACGGACACCTAAGGTATTCTGTTCCGAGATCATAGTCGCTGACAACGGTTTAGCATGATGAAAGAAACGTAACTCATCTTTGCATGCAACTCCCATGGATTTTGGAAATGCAAATTAGCGATGAGACTAAAGAACGAATATGTACCGACACAGAGATGCCACAACTGTATAATCGTAATCAAGCGTTACAGATATCAAATGTCCACCGTTTGATAGGGTCTGATACCTCGATTTTGGTACGGTAATTCACGTAACCAGCTCAAGCATGAGTGCAATATCAAATGTGCTAGATGCGTTGTACCAGAATTCCGAACACCAGATATGGAAATCGTGAATGCGGTTTTGGACATCCAGAAACGTCGATTAAGCGAAGCTATCTCGTGTTGGCTTTTTGTGGAAAGGATAAAAGATAGAAAGTTAGATCACTCCGTTCATTACATTAAAACGAGTCTCAGAAATGGAAACACGGTTTTGGAAAACCAAGAGCGCTAATTAAACAAATCGATCTCGTTTGGAGCTTTTGCAAGGAGTCATCTAGAGGCGCCAAATGACTACTTGCTAGAGTCAAAAACACATTTCGGAACTGGGAATGCAAAACTAAGGAATCAACAGTGTTGACTGGATGCTCTGACGCTTCGATGCACCGTCATCCGAGCCTTTTGCGAAAGAAGCTTCAGATGAACGAAATGACGATATCCGTTAGCGGATATCATGATCTCGAAATCACAATTACAGTTCCAATAAGCCGTCTGCCTTAACTAGATGAAGCTTCAAACCCCTACTTTACGATGCTTGGGCACGTATTTTGTTAAAACGATTCCCGAGACTACATACGGAATCCTGGGCGTTGGTTCAATGTCTAAAGGCGATATTTCGCAGACATTCTCACGGCAAGACACTTCAAGAATCCAGTTCACGATGTCCATAACAAGAAACCGAGTTCTCAGTGTCGAAAGCAGGTCACCGCCCCTTCCCCAGGCGTTCTCGCCACCTTGACACGGCACAGTAAACCCCCAACCCGCTGGTTCGTCGAACAACCCGCCTCGACCAAACTTTGTCCCCGCGGAAAGCCGAAACCCAGAAGAGAAAAACGCACCGCCACAGCTAATCCATCTAGCCCTATTCACGTCCTATTAATATACCTCAAGAACTAAAGAGAATTCAATAACACGCTTGCTAGATGCGCTTAGGTGTCTAGTATTATTTTAGAGGTATTAGGCATTAAGATACACTAATTAATTTATCTAGTCTCTATAGCATAATTTACTAAATTCTCTTTTATATATTCTAACTATTTATCTATAAATTCTTCTATTTATTTTACTACTTCTTTAGCTTATAAGTTAAGTAGTTAGTAATTTTAGTAGCTTAGATTATTATTAATATTTAGTAACTATAGTTATTAACTAATAATAATAGTTATAGCTCTAGTATTAAGAGCTTTAATAGTATATTAGAAAAGCGTCTTAAGCACTATTATTTCTTTCTCTATAAATAAAGTAACGTTACTTAAGAAATATAAGATAGTATTTCTTATAGTATACGTAGGTACTAGCTTAATAATAATTACTTTAATACCTAATTAGTATTATTTATACTACGCTTTTAACTAGAAAATTATACCTAATATAGATTAGTAATATAAGCTAAAATTATCTTTAACTATAACTATATTACTAAACTTATTATAGCTAAAATAAGCTAAAGAAGTAAGAAGTATTTAATTTATAGTAAATAGTAAATATAATAATATTAGTAAGAATTTATAGTAATAAAAAGAAGTTAAGCGCTTACATAAAATTTCTACTTCTAGAAATAAGTAACTATAGTATTATAAAATTTATACTTATAGTTTTGCTGCCTTTGCTTCTATAGAATACATACTAAACATTACTACTTAAAACCCTAACAGACACCTAGTAGATGCGCTTGCTGGTAGTGTTAGAGACGGCGCAAGCCTCCCAACGACTCTAGTGCATGCACGCGTGTCAATCGATAACGCGGGCTGCAACTTAATCTTTGGTGGTTTGACACGTTGGCTGAGGGACTGAGGGTGGATAAGTGGTTAGGGTGGGCTGTAGCTTGGTGGGTTGGGGTTATGGGGGAATAGTGAGGCAGAGACGGTGTGTGCATGCAGGATGGATTGACGACGTTTGTCCGTGGTTTTTCTTTTTTTCCCTTTGTTGTCGTCTTTTATTGTTTGGAGATATGTATACTGTGCCTTTGAGCTGTATCTGTTCCATTTGGTGATTTGGGACTGTGTGGTATCGTAGGAGCTGCATTGAAGTGTGTGATGTGCAATTGACATCATGATTTCGTACCGTATACTTCGGAGAATGTACCGGTACATAGCCCTTGCTTAAGCAACGTGAACGTGGGGTATATACCTCCTCACCGGCTGTTATGTACGTGCTCAAGATGCCTGTCAAGACATATGCGTGACACTGCATTTTGGAGACTACATGCAGTAGCAAGCGAAAAGCGTACAATCGCCGGTGTGATGTGACGTGACACAGCTAGGATAGAGATCAGCATGCACCAGCAGGGAAATGCGCCTCTGCGGCACTGCGAAGGATGTATGTCGTCTGACTGACTTGCCAGGATTACCGCAGTAGCTTTGAAGGGATTGAGTAATGGGTGGCATTTCTTGAAAAGCGGAGGATTTGTGAAGGGGTTGGGTTGCGGGGTCAGAGGGAGCAGAAGGGCTGGGTATCACGGTAGATGAGATGAGGAAAATGTTGTGTTTTTTTATCCGTTTGTATTAATATTTTCATCGCATGGAGATGCGGGACTACCTATTGAACTAGCTAGGTCCGTGGCTTCTTCTTAGAAACAAATATCCAAACACCATGCCGCCTATGCTTTAGCTATGTACATGATGTCGTAGATGCATGCAGTCATCAAGGAACGTTGCAAGGAAATCGTGTCATCCTCCGCTACAGCCTTCATTATGTGATCGTCAAAGCGACCATGTCCCATGTTCATCGCGCGCGCTGAATAGAGCTGATCTCGCTTACAAGAAGGAGAAAAGGGCGAGGAAACCGGCAGCGAGAGCGCCGATGCTGGCAGTGCCAGTGGAGGCAGCACCAGTGAACTCTGAGAAGGGAGGCATGGTGGAGTTGGCGATCGGGGCAGAAGCCTGGGGCTGACCGTCGGAGATCTGGGTGACGAGAGGAGCGGAAGCCTGGGGCTGGCCGTCAGAGATCTGAGTAACGACGGGGGCGGAAGCCTGAGGCTGGCCATCAGAGATCTGGGTGACGACAGGGGCAGATGCCTGAGGCTGGCCGTCGGAGATCTGGGTAACGACAGCAGGCGAAGAAGCCTGGGGCTGACCGTCAGAGATCTGGGTGACAACGGCGCCGGGGGTGGAGGCCTGGGGTTGACCGTCGGAGATCTGAGTAACAGCTCCGGCAGAGGTAGCCTGAGGCTGACCATCGGAGATCTGGGAGACGGGGCCGGTTTCCTCGGACATGGTAGCCTGGATGTGGATGGGAATGCACTGAGCACCAGTGGACTGGCTGTACAGGTTGTAGAAGTCTCCAGACAAGCACTGGTAGAAGACAGCGGAGCCCATCAGGGACATGGAGCCGTTGCTGCAGAGACCGAAACCTTCAGTCTCGCGAGCACCCTCCTGTACGGGTTGGTCGAACTGGAATCTGATAGTATGTTAGTACTGACTGAGTATGTCAGAGTGTTTTAGGAGACGTACTGGTAGTTGGCGGCGATGTAACCGGTGCGACCAGCCTGGTCGGTCAACTTGCCATCCTCGAGAGACAGCTGAAGAGTACCATCAAGCTGGCGCCTGACCATCCTGGAGGGAGTGGTGGTGGCATTGACGGTGGTGATGGCGAAAGTGCCCGGGGCAGAGGACGCACACTCAGCGTCGGAGGAGGCCTGGGGGTAGGCAGCAACGGCAGCCGCGAGGCCGGCAGCGACGAAGGACTTCATTTTCGGATAGTCGGTTGGAGGTTGATATTAATGTATAGGGCGTACTTGACAGCGAGCGTAAGTAGCGACGAAGTAGACTGAGGAGCGAGGTATCAGTCACTTGATATACGATTGGAAAACTGTCGACGATGCTGGTAACCACGACAACGAGAGTGTGAGATGTTCTGGGTAGGTAAGAAACGCGGGAAGGTAAGACAGCTATATACTCACACCCAGGCAAGTAGTTAGTCCATTCAATCTACCTCATCGAGCATATCACCGCAGATCGGACATGCACTGAAGCCTCAGCGCTTGAGCCAAGGCCATGGATCAACTCCACGCGTCAATGCGAAGCTACAACCGCCTAGCGTCGACGCTTCTGACGGCTGGAGAAAGAGGCTGGATAGAGATCGCGCGTGCCGTAACGATAAACACCGCGGAGAATTCTGCTACATCATTGGATGCCCATTCATCCGACCCCTCAGTTAGGTCCCCACCATTTCAGTGAGAATGCGCGTGAACAAAGCCCGTCCCGCCTCTCGTCTAAACTTATCTCAATCCCAGCCCGTGAGTAACTTTGAACGCGATTGCTGCCATTGCATTGGCTACTCTGACGCAATGGTTTCAGCCTTTTGGTCCATGTATTCTGCCTGTCAATTGACCGGTGACATGCTGCCTAATGCAAATCTCGATGTGTTGAGCTCGGTTTCCGTGGTATGCAACGTCTAAGACAGCTGCTCAACC